AATAATAGACATTTGTTGGCATTCCACCTTTAATAATCATATAACTTTTTGGACATAAATAGAGTTAATAATACAACAAAAGTTGATCTCATGTTTTAAATACTATTACGCACTTTTAAATATTTTAACTAACTAAATTAGTCGACAAAATATTATTGTATGCGTTAATTTCACAATGTATAATAGTAACATAAAAAAAAGGAAAATGATAAACATAACTCTATGTATAAGAAGCTCAAAAAGGAAATATTGATGAAAAAACATTAATTACATCGATCTGTGCGTGATTTTGTCATGAATTCCCAACTTAATTCCATTTTAAGAAGTACATTTAATGCTTATATATAACCTTAAGGGCTACATATATAATTACCCTAAAAAAATTGTATATTTTTCATCAGATCATCAAATTTTTTTCTTTTCTTTAAAGAACATTAATTATATGGTCTTACTACAAATTACTTGTATACGTTAAAGTTTTTACGAGAATTTAATAAGCTTGTTAGAGCCTGTTCTTTTGAGCAAAGCAAAACAATTTATTAATACTTAGCATAACAGATTTTAGCAGAGCACAACAGCTCAAAAGAACAGGTTTCTACTTGTCAAAAAAGCGTTAAGGTATGAGAAAAAAAAAAAAATTATGATATGAAGTAATTTTTTTTAAAATTTTAGACTGTAATTAAAATTGTTTTTCATACTTCCGTAAAAAAATAAAAGTTTTCCATACTAAAGCAAGCGTCATGTTGGACCTACAAAAACGAGGTTAAATTTGACCAAAAACAAAATGACCCGGTAAAATCACCTTGAGTATTCTCTAGAACTTCCTCCTCATTGGCTCGCTCCCAAGGGGAAAATTTCGAACCAACCAAACCAACCCAACGTAATAAAAGTTATATCCACGAGTCCAACTCAAAAATAGTAGATCTAAATCCAACGGCTCACCTTTCTCCGACCAAATCGAAAAACATTAAAAAACCCTAAAACACCCCAAGTCAGAATTTTCTCGAATCCAAATTTTTCGCCCCATTAAAAACGAGTAACCAAAAAAAAAAAAAAAAACAAAAAAAAGCGGGAAACCCTTCAAATGACAGATGGAAGAAGATAAGAGGGTTTAGGATTTACGAACGAACCAGAACCTTCTCGAAATGACGTTTTAGTCTTATAAAAAACACCCCTTTTCTTCTCTTTCAATCTCATTCAAATTTTTTCACAGCTTAAAAAAAAAAAAAAAAACTAAGCTCTCAAAAAATCAAAAAAAAAAAAAAGGAAAAGTTTCTCTGTTAGTTTGAGTTTTGCTAGGGTTACAGAAATGTCGTCTGGAAAGGGTGAAGGCCCGGCGATCGGAATCGATCTCGGCACGACATACTCGTGTGTTGGAGTGTGGCAACACGATCGTGTTGAGATCATTGCAAATGATCAAGGGAATCGAACGACGCCGTCTTATGTTGCGTTCACTGATACTGAGCGTTTGATTGGTGATGCTGCTAAGAATCAGGTCGCCATGAATCCTACTAACACTGTTTTCGGTATGATTTCTTTTCCTTTCTGTTATTTGATGATTTTATTTTTGAGTTTTTTTAGATGATCATGCATGTATTTACTCTGTTTTATGTTAGGGTTATTGTTGTGTAGGTTAATGTCTGTTGATTATATGGTTAAACATGATTTTAGGAGTTAATTAAGTGTATGATAACGTTTGGTGGATAGTTGATGATTATGCTTATGGATCGTGGCACTTTATGTTTCTGTTGACAAGAATAATAGTTTGTTGATTTATCTTATTTTTTAATATATTTGTTTAGATACGTGTTTTAGTATTCCGAATTTCTCATTTATGGATTAACGAGTCTTAAATCGGTATTATTAGTCGCATAAGATTTAGGGTTTTGTGTAAATTGCAGGTTAATTATATTTGATTATTTGGTTGATTATGATTAGTATGAGTTAGTTAGGTGCAAGAGAAGAATTTTGCATATTGTCGATGATTTTATTTATGGATCCTGACATTCTATGTTTTTGTATAGAATTTTACTACGACTTCTACGAGTTGTTGAAAGATTTATTATTTTATTTAAGGGAATAATCTTAGGCATCATGAATCACAGTTTGGATTGGTGCTAATAATCTGATAATGTTTAAGGTTTTGTGTGAATTGCATTTGATCCAAATATTAAAATAATTAATTTATTTAATTGAGTATTTTAGTTAGATCATACGAAGTTATTTATTTGAAATGTCAGATAATTTCTAGAACGCTTCTTGTTTTTGTAGCTTTTAATATATTATGAATTGAAGATATACTTTATGTTGTATATATTTGTACTCCAATTTTGTTCTGATTGTGCTTGGGTAAATTTCTGATTAAATATTTGAAATTTTGATTGTTATAGATGCCAAGCGATTGATTGGAAGAAGATTCAGTGATCCATCAGTGCAAGCTGATATGAAGTTATGGCCATTCAAGGTAATTGCTGGCCCAGCTGACAAGCCCATGATTGTAGTCAATCACAAGGGAGAGGAGAAGCAATTCTCTGCAGAAGAAATCTCATCTATGGTCCTAACAAAAATGAAGGAAATCGCCGAAGCGTTCCTCGGTTCTTCCATTAAGAATGCTGTGGTCACGGTTCCGGCTTACTTTAATGACTCCCAACGCCAAGCTACTAAGGATGCTGGTGTGATCTCTGGGCTTAATGTCATGCGTATCATTAACGAGCCGACTGCTGCTGCCATTGCGTATGGTCTTGACAAGAAGGCTAGCAGTAGCGGAGAGAAGAATGTGTTGATTTTTGATCTTGGAGGTGGTACTTTTGATGTGTCATTGTTGACTATTGAAGAAGGAATTTTCGAGGTTAAGGCAACTGCTGGTGACACTCACCTTGGTGGTGAGGATTTTGATAACAGGATGGTGAATCACTTTGTGCAAGAGTTTAAGAGGAAGCACAAGAAGGATATTAGTGGGAACCCGAGGTCTTTGAGGAGGTTGAGGACAGCTTGTGAAAGGGCAAAGAGGACATTGTCTTCAACTGCTCAGACCACTATTGAGATCGATTCTCTTTACGAGGGAGTTGATTTCTACACCACCATTACTCGAGCTCGTTTTGAGGAGTTGAACATGGATCTGTTCAGGAAGTGTATGGAGCCAGTTGAGAAGTGTTTGAGGGATGCCAAGATGGATAAGACTAAGGTAGATGATGTTGTGCTTGTTGGTGGTTCTACTAGGATTCCAAAGGTTCAGCAGTTACTTCAGGATTTCTTCAACGGCAAGGAGCTCTGCAAGAGCATTAACCCTGATGAAGCTGTTGCTTATGGTGCAGCTGTTCAGGCTGCAATTTTGAGCGGTGAAGGTAATGAGAAGGTGCAGGACTTGCTGTTGCTTGATGTTACTCCTCTGTCTCTTGGGTTGGAGACTGCTGGTGGTGTTATGACAGTGCTCATCCCAAGAAACACCACAATCCCCACGAAGAAGGAACAGGTGTTCTCGACATACTCGGACAACCAACCAGGTGTGTTGATTCAGGTCTTTGAAGGAGAGAGAACCAGAACTCGGGATAACAACCTGTTGGGCAAGTTTGAGCTCACTGGCATTCCTCCTGCACCAAGAGGTGTGCCTCAGATCAATGTCTGTTTCGATATTGATGCCAATGGTATCCTTAATGTCTCTGCCGAGGACAAGACTACTGGTCAGAAGAACAAGATCACAATCACAAATGACAAGGGTAGACTGTCCAAGGAAGAAATTGAGAGAATGGTGCAAGAGGCTGAGAAATACAAGTCAGAGGATGAAGAGCACAAGAAGAAGGTTGAAGCCAAGAACGCCCTTGAGAACTATGCTTACAACATGCGTAACACTATCAAGGATGACAAGATTGCTTCCAAGTTGCCCGAAGCTGACAAAAAGAAGATTGAAGATGCTATTGAACAGTCCATTCAGTGGTTGGATGGAAATCAGCTTGCAGAGGCTGATGAATTTGAGGACAAGATGAAGGAGCTTGAGGGTATTTGCAACCCAATCATCGCAAAAATGTACCAAGGCGGTGCTGGCCCTGATATGGGCGGTGCTAGCATGGATGAAGACGGTCCTGCTGCTGGTGGTGCAAGTGGTCCTGGTCCTAAGATTGAGGAGGTTGACTAAGTTGTTGCTGTTTTGAGGAATACCTGAGCTTTTGCTTTTATTCTGATATTGCTTTTATACTGCTATTAGTGTTAGTACCTTAGTAGTAAGGTTTGGGGAAACTTGTTTTTTTTTTTTTTTTTACTATATATTAGTAAAGATTTGAGTCTCGATTGTGGACTACTTTGGCAGTTAACAATTGTTTTCTGCCTGTTAGTTTTACCAACAATTATATAATGATAAAGTAATGTTCATTCCCCAAAATTTGACTTTCATTATTTCTGTTTCAAATCCAGTTTAACTTATGGAATGTGCTTATCATGCAAGTTCTCATAAAAATTTGTCAGGAATAATTTTAATTTTGCCTGGATTTCTTATGAATCCAAATTATATACTGTAAAAAGATTAAACTTCTAAACTATAAGAAACTAAGGTTGAAGATATGTACGATAGCAGCCAATTTTGACCTTTAAAAACATCAAGGTGTGTTGAAATTTGCTTTGTACAGATGTTCATCCTGCAATTTGACCTTTAGAAACATCAAGGTGTAGCAATATTTGTTTTGTACAATTATACAGATTTTCAGTGTGTATAATCTCAAATAAATTATTCAGGAATAATCTCAGTTTTGCCTGGATTTCTTGTTATAAATTTTAATTATGAAAACAGCTTAAAACTTCTCCACTATAAGAAACAACATTCGAAGGCGTGTACAATGCAGCCAATAAGACGTTTAGCAACATCAAGAAGATGCGGCGAAATCAAGTATACATCCGCTCCACTTAACAATTTCTGAGAGTAGTTAAAAAATACACTATACTACTATAGTGATGACTACATCTGTACAATGAATCAGAATAAATAAATTCAAAGATTCGTGATAAATATATAAATCCATAGCCAGTACTAACAATCAGATAGAATGGCAGCTGCCAGAAAATCAACGGAAACTATGACTTGTCATTAATATTTGATTATAATCGTACAAATTAATGAATCATGACAAAGAAGCCACTGAGGCGAAAGAATTTATCTACAGAATGTAAACTATTTCTATACATGTACAAATCAATGCATGTAATCTGCATAACATTAGGGGCATGCAGTCCGGCTTGTCGCACAGATTGGGCAATCCAGCTTTTTGCTGCTTGGTAGAATGGCGCCCAAAAGTAGCAAAGACAGCTGAAGATCTGCTGGTCAACAGTATTTAATAAGTTAGCTGCACAATATATGGTAACATTGTGAGGCATTATACGATTGATCTGCAGAAATTGCTGAATTTAGCTGCAAGAGTATTATAGAGTTGGGAGAGTAGACAAAAGAACAATCTGCAGTATTGATCCATTATTCAGAAAGATGGTACAACTATACAATTTCCAGGTTCTACAAGAAAACACTTCAACCAAAAGTTGCACTGTTCAGCTATGTCTCGTAATACAGTTTCCACATTCATTCGCATGCGTACTGCAAGAACCCTCCACAAAATAACAAATCCAATGACCGCTAAACCATTAAATCCATCAAATAGAAGAAAAAATAAACATAACAATGCAGTAAGATCTTACCATTAATCTCTGAACTTGACTTTGAAGGACGGGCGCAAACCCAAAACTCAAAGCTATTCAAATGCAAAAGAACAAAATCAGACCTATGATTTTTGTCAGACGGCAAAAACATCATGTACTACATGTGGGACTTTCTAATTCCTATATATATGGAGCCTAGCAACTACCAAGAGAATGATAACGTCAAGTATGTGAGCTGCCCTTACTTTAGTTCAGATAAGCCTCAGTCATGACAACAAGAGATCATTCCCACCAAGATGAGAGCGAAGGCAAATTGGAACCTCATGCTCTTCTGGACCTACACGGGGCTTAGGCACAGAAATTTCGAGAACTGTTCCAGAATTATCAAAATAAGCTTCCAACTTGGCATCATCAGGAATTCGGGAAGGAAGAGGAATTTCCCTTTTAAAGTCACCAGGGGGGCAGTGCTCAGGAGAAGGATCTGTAAGCTTAAACGTTCTGTCATTCCTCTGAATATACGGCATGCACGCTGTGCTCACAGATGTGACCTTGACTACGCCATGAGATATTGTATTCCACCAAGAAACTTTCACCTTCTGAAGATCTGTGAATGGCAGACTAATGACAATCATGTACCCATCATCATCCTCATAGATAGATTTTGCACAGGTGACTGGGCCATAAACATTTCTCATAACCCCAGTGAATTCAGGGGCCCACATGGGTTCAATTGGATGCACCTCTACCGCATCTTGCGTTCCATCAGAAGAATGTGTATTGGCTGGCAGACAAGAATCTTCATCATTTCCATGAGCAGGGACATCCTTCCTCTTCTTAGTTGCAGCAGCAGAGAGATCAAATACGTCATTCACATGGTTAGATGGCTGAGTGGACAGGTTCAATCCAGAGCCATTGAGCAATTTCTTTGAGTGACCATTGGCAGTGCTCTTCAAGGCAGGAAGTGGTCTCTCTAGTTCGAATTCTGTGCTTGGAAGGTTCCTCCACGAAGCAAACTCACTAGCTTCTTCTGGAAGAGAAAAGCTGAGGTCCCTTCCAGTGAGTTCCATCCACCTCCTCTGCTCTTCCTCATCAACAGCACTAAGATTTGGTTGTCGAACAATTTCAATCCCGTGAAGGCATTGAGGGTTAGAGAGTCCTCGATAATGTTTCCTTTGCATTTTGTGAGACCGAACAAAACCCTTTTCAACACTAAAAGGGAACGGCCTTTCCCCTTGCCGCGAATGCCCATTCATGTAGCTTCTCAATTGCATCTTCCCCAATGCATTCTCTGGCCTCTCCTTAAAAACCCACATATACATATTCTCCATATCATGTTGTACCAAGAAAGACTCCAGCTGAAGATCAGACTTCTCAAACCCCGAAACCCCATTACCATCCCTCACAATCTTGGTCTTCGATTTCTCATTCAACGAAGGCTTAAAGTAGAAGCTAAAAAAGAACCAAGCTCCCCACACACTATCAAGCCTCTTAGCACACTTTCGATTTCCATTCCCATTCCCATTCCCATTCCCGTTCCCATTCTTAGGAACCACCACATGAGTCTCCGGTTCATAAACCTGAGTCCCTAATCCAACCTCTAACATATCACAAGCCTCCTGATTCCAAGTCTGAGGAGGCGGAGGACTACGCTCCGCCGATAAGGGCAGATTAATATCAGGTGGACCAGGACGAGACAATATTATATGCCTACTAATCTCTCTTTCCTTTTCCTCATGAGATTTCGAACTCGAATCCATTGACAACAATGTTGATGGGTGATGATTCTCCATTGACAAGCTCGCTAACAAATCTTCCCCCATATCATCCACACCCCCAACAATCTATATTCAAGGGTCTTAAGAATTTTTTCAAACAAATCCCCAAGTCAATTCAAGCTAATCACTAGATAAAATCACACATAATCACCTCCAATTCTTAATATTTAGCATACTTCTATATCTATACATCAATCTCATATCTAATTGCACAAAAATTGAATTTAACAATCAAATAATCACTTTCAGCAGCTAAACAAGAAATTCAATAAATTTCTAAACCTAAAATACCAACAGGATTAATTGGTCAAAACCTAACCCTAGTAGAAATATGTAATTAGCTGATAATATTGACTCGACCCAAAATATATATAAATAAAGAAAAAAAAAAAGGAAATTTAAATCAAGGGTAATATAAATCAGGAAAGAGAAAAATCAAGAAAGTACCTTATAAGAGAAGAAGAATAAAAAGTATGGATTTTTTTTTTTTTTTTTTTTTTTTTGGGTCAGCAAAAAATTGAGATCTTCAACAAGAAAATTGACAGAGCTCCAAAAATGAGGAGAGAGAAAGAGACGGAGGAAGGAGGGAGGGAGGGAGAAACCGGGAGAGGCAACAACAGGGGCAAGCTTTCCTCTCTTCTCGTAGTAAAAAGACGAGTTTATCCTTTCTACAATTAAATTAAATTAAATGGCGTTAATGTCCACTGTTAATTAGACGTTGATGGATTTTAACGGTGAAAAGTTACCGTTTGGAGTTTGTTGAGCTTGAGGAGAAGACGGTGATGATCTATGATGACGCACGTTACGGTGAAGGGTTAATGGGTGGATTTGGTTGGCTCTAGACGTAATCGATGGGCTAGGGCCACAAATTTTAGTTTATTTGAAAAGTGGTATGTGGGCCATAGTTTGAGTTTATGTGGTTTAATATGATATAATAGTCCAGCCCAAGCCCAACTTAGTTTTTTTAAAGCCACCCTTTTTGATGCATGGTTAGGGAGCAAGAGTGAAGACTGAAGAAATCATATCTTTACTTGTACAGTTGTACTGTATTATTTTAAAGTCCAAATCTCCATAGTGTGCTTATTATTGATCATTTTTCTTATGTCAGCTCATGAAATATTATTTTAGTTTGTGGAAGTTAAGCAAAGTTCAAGTATAGAGAATATCAAAAGGTGAAATTTTGTAATATTTAATTCAACAAATTCAATTCACTCACTAGAATTCTGCACATTTCAAGTGTGAAAATCGAATGCAAAGGTGATTTGTAAATTCAATATATATTATAGTTGTATCCCGAGATAGGAGGTTAGAGTAAATGAGTAATTGGCTAGTTCTCCAACTTTCAGGCTTGAGGTTAGAGGTCGAATCTCACCAAGCTCATTATAGGAGGAATTTCCCTAAATCCCCTTCCTCCTAGGATAAACCTTCTCTTTGCTTGTTGTACGGACTTGTACCCCTTCTTACTTATTAAAAAAAAAAGATATGTGAACCATTTATGATTTATCTACACACTTAACACTCTCTCTAGGAATATCCCTCAAACCAAATTTCAAAGATCAATTCTATCTCAAGCAAATTTTTTTATTCAAAATTAAAAATTGCCAAATTTCATATACTCCTTACAATAAAGTTTTAAATTCACAAATTAGATAAGGATGCCAACTAATTTTAAAAGATCAAAAGTCATAAACTAAGGTCTAAAAATTAAAAGTATTGGTTTTCAACAATAGAAATTGCCAAAATTTATATACATACTAATTTTGAAAAAACATACGGAGTACATTACAAATATGGGTGGCAATAACATTTTTTTTTATGGGTAAGAAGGACTTTGACTTAGCCTCAAGTCTCACGTCTTTTTTGATCAAGCTAAGTATTGGCGGTCCAGATACTTGAGAGCAGATGAAACTATGAACGGATAAGATTTCCTACCCCCAAACACTATCATTTGACAAGATTCAAACCTTAAAAATTAAGGTTATTAAGTGAACAAACACTTTATTGGGAGGATGCCAATAACAATGCCCCTACACTTTAAATTAAATTCTATTTTTGTACACTTTACTCATATTTTGTTTTTGTAAATCTTTCTTCAAAATAGGAAATTTCCTACAACACTATATTTACCTATAAAAAAACCCTTGGGATTTGTAGTCAAATTATGTTAGCAGCAGATTAGGTATGTAACAAACATTTGCTCCTCTTTCATTCTGACAATTATGGACAAGAGTACAAGACAAATGAATACAAAGAGGTTCCTTATCATTTCTCAACAGGGAAAGTCACGCATAAAAATTCAGAGAAGCAAAAATTTAGGGGGGAAAGAAAGTAAAAAGGCAAGATATAGTATAGGTAGAGTTTTATCAGTCTCAGCTACGTACACAATTTCCAATTAGGTAAAGCCTGAAAATAGTGGTTGCTTTTGCTTATACAATTAGGATTTTAATTTTGCTTGAATTGGTTGCATATATTTGTCACTTTTACATGTTTTCACTCATTTTTATCGTCCACAACAAAATCTTGCAGTTCTTTCTTCGTCTTTTTAATCTCACATATTATTGGTTGGTTCCTTAAGAAGAGCCCCTAGTGAATTGGGAACATGCATAATATGATTTTAAGTGTTTCAATGTCTTTTGACCATTCATCTTCATTCCCTTTTCTATTTTCTGATTATGCTTTAAAGTCCACTTGGTTACTACATCTACGGATCTACCCTTGTCGTATGAAGTACTTCTTATTTGCGTAACATAAGCATGAAGGTGTAGGTACAATATAATTGACTCATATACTTTTACTATCATATTTGTCGTGATAAATGGGTAATCTAATTACTGGTGTAACGATAATGTCCATCTTTTTATCACGAGTGCAATAAACGTTAATGAAATGAATTGGGTAGAGCATGTTTTCCCAAACTACTGTAATAACTAAAGTGTGTATGCCATGCAAGTATGCAGTGTCTCCCTTTCAGAAGGTATCTTTGCAATTCGTCAAAAGGAAAAGTTTTTTGTGCTCGGTAGATAGCTAAGCTAGGTGTAGGTAGCTTCATTTTCCAAAGGCTGAGCAGATTGGACAAGCCCTAAAGTGCCTAATCTGATCCATATCCACTACGAGCTAAGCATATGTAATGAATTTTTTTTTTATTTTTTTTTTGACGAGAGTAATGAGTGTTGTGACAATAAAGATAGACACACATACATTTAAATTTAAAAATGATGAGTCTCTTATTTTGTCAAGGTGTCTTTTCTTTTGTTTTCTTTTCAATACTTTTGTTAGAGTGTAGAAACTATTTAGACCATTTTTAATGCCGAGCAAAAAAAAAATGTCCACCCACTATCTTTCTACCCACTTTCTCTCTTAACAAATCTGTTTTGTCTATGGGTAAATTTTTTTCACAATTTCTCTCCCAACGGTGAGCAAAAAAAATGCTTGTCCACTACTCTCTCTCTCTCTTACTTTTTCAATACCCCACAATTACTTTCTCTCTCCTACACAACACTTTTTTATTTATTAATTTCATTTATATTTTAACAATATTACTCCAAATAAATAAAAATTAGTCTAAATTTGTGTAACTTATTTTTTTTATTTGTGTCGTTTTTATTGTTAAAATAAAGAATACGGAGGATTTATGGTATTTTTGAAATTATACCAAAATATACCAAAATGCATGTCTATTTATAGAGAATTAAATTTTATGACCGTTGGTAATTTTAATTTTTTTTTAATAAATATTTATTTCAGAATTTGCATTACAAAAAATATAACCATTGTAAATTGTGGGGCCCACCAGAGCACTATTCATCTTCAAAAATGCTCAAGTCTTGGGCATTTTCAGAAATGCTCATGAGTATTTTTTGGCTTTTTCTCATTTGCTCACCATTGTAATGCATGAGCAAATTTTATGCCCACCCAAAATGCCCATGAGCAAATTTTTAACTCATCATTGGTAGTGCTCTAAGGGAAATACATATAGGAGCATTTAGTATGTGGCAATTACATAAGTTCTTTCTTCCAATTTTATTATAAAATCATTAGTAGTTTGATAAAATGAATAGGTGATTCCCTAAAAAACAAAAGTGATATATATGATGAAATAATAAAGAATAGGTGATTCCCATCATCTATACTTGCACATTTTTTTGGTATGTTAAGGAAAAAATAAATAATTTTTATATAATTAAATCATAGTTGCACAATTTTTTTGGTACTAAGGGTCTTAAAAGTTTCTTATTTCTTATTTTTTTTTATTTATTTCTTTTATGGTATTAGTTATGCCAATTGAAGTTTAAAGTGCATAGATGATAAATTAACAATACATTGATATTAGAATTTACATACCCAAATATACGATACAATAGTCATGCTTAATATTGTAGTAGAGTCTTACGAAGTATTCAACTAACTACAAATATATAACCCTTATATAGAATATAAAATGAATGAAAATTGTATTTTGTTGGTTTGGTTTGTTTCTAGTTCCGCTGTCAAAAAAAAAAAAAAAAAAAAAAAAAAAAAATCATAACCCTTATATAAAATGAGTGAAAATTGTATATAAAAAGTCTAATTTGTGGTTCAATACCTCTTTTATTTTGTGTCACATGATAATAACTATGTATCCGCTACGAAATTAAGAATACCTAGTAATTGAAAAAACCATCAACATAACAATTACACAAATCATCACTAAAATAACTAAGGCATACCTGCAATGTGATGCAAAGATATAGAGAATAATCATTTGCGTACCAAAAAGGCAAAAAAGAACAATAATTTTAAGCTTTGTTCAAAATCATTCATCAAGGAAATTGTTAACACAAACAAAGCATTGATTGCCGACAATATATTATAGCTACCCTTTAAAATTAAACCAATACCCTTACACAAAAATAAAAAGTCCTCTTATGATGTATACCAATACCATTATACCAATAACCATGTTACACCCCAATTAAAATCAATAAAATGACATTGTTATAATCAATTAGATTATCAAGCGCTCTCACTAGAAGCATGACCACTAGAAAAGAAATCAATGAAATGAGGATGTTGATGATTATCTCCAAAATCATTGATATTTGTATCAGATGATGAGCTTGTAGCACAAGAATTCCCAGCTGAATTATTATTATTATTATTATTATTATTATTATTATTATTATTATTATTATTATTATTATTATTATTATTATTATTATTATTATTATTATTATTATTATTATTTCCACTTAATTTGTGCTCCAATATTCCAGTTGGATGCACTGGGAAAAGATTCAGTGTTCTCATTCCCTTGCAATTCCCTTGATAATCATATTGATGATGATGTTCAACTGATTTTGAGTTATTATCATTCATCATCGCAGCACAATATCCACTTAGTGTTGAACCTGGTGGCACCCCTACACCCTTGTTACTAACACGTGTCGTAGTGTGATTCGTTGCGTTGCTGATGCTAGGTTTTGATGATACCTTCTTCATGCCTTGATGATCATTATCAGGTGTTGCGGGTGCACTGTAGTGATGCTGTGGAGGATTATAAAACCCAAGGTTGGCTTGTGGCACATGGTAATATGGGCTGCACATAACTGTCAAGTACAAGTGCACAATGCCATCAATATATAATATTCGCTCCGTACTTTGTATACTAACTATCAGATACATATAACATATTACACGACTATATTTTACGAGGTTTCAATTAACAATATTTGTAATAAAAAAAAAAATTATAGAATGAAGCTATCATGTACGAGTAGTACGTATATAAAATTAATATCGTAAAATTAATTTTGACATTCCAAACATGTAACAAAAACAAAATATACTAGATTATGATATGTGGTTTAACTATATTTAAATGTTCCATAACTTTCTTATAGTACTCATAATTTACCTACATGATCCGTATGTAAGTCAAATTTTAAAGTTCTTTAAAGTTAAAATTCTTTTTTCTTGTACATTAAGTTTGAACTTACACTCATCATTCAAATTATTAGAAATGTCTGCATACGTGTAATGTATAATGAACATTTAATTTGATAAACAATGATGTTTATCTACACATTAATTAACTTGTTAGTTTTTTTAGTTTTTCACAATTTCTTTTTGGTTGTCACAAAAATCATCTTCCCACTTTCAACTCTTTTTCTTTCACATCCTTTCTCGGAAAAGTACCAAACAAAAGCAAGAGAGAGAAAGAAAGAAAGAAACTCTCCAATTTGATTTCCTTCCTTAGCTCAGTACTTGTGAAAATTTCGAATGAAAAACTACAGAAATAAATAAATAAACCGATACGAAGAATAATATATAGCCTTTAGATATATGTACATACATAAACATTAATCCAAACAACATAATTAAAAATCCTACGATATTTGCATATAATATTTTATCTATAAAAAAAATAAAATATTGGAAACCCTCCTTGCTGGAAAAAAGATTTATGCTATTGGTTTATAATAAAAAATTTAAAGTACTTACAATTACTAGACTAATTAACGTCAATTTTGTATTTTGATGAGTAAATTTTGTAATACTATAATTTTTCTTTAATCACGTATATTAAGCTGATTATCCTAGAAACCTTCTTATCACTACTTTACATGTATACATAAGTAAGTGATGATCAAATAAATCAAATCACAAAATATACACCATAATTTACTAAATAATATATATATATATATATATATATATATATATATATATATATATATATATATATGTTGGGATATAGGAAAATATATCATAATATATTATTGTGATATATTTTCCTATATTCCCAACAATATAAATATATATAAAATAGCATTTGTTGTACGATAAAAAATAAACAAAATAATAGCCCAAAAAAAAAAACAATATTATAAAAAAATGCTTACCGTTAGGATTAGGAAGAAAATGATGATGATAAGTAGGATGAGAAGCAGGAAAAATAGGCCTGGTATTAAGATTAAGACCATTATTAACACCATGATTAGTGTGGTAATGAAGCGGTGGTGCACCAATAAAACGAGGAGAAATCTGATTAAAATTATGATTAGCAGCAGAATTAGCAGCAGCAGCAAGTAAACGATCATGTCTTTGTTTCTGGCGTTGTCTAGCCTTATGATTTTGAAACCAATAGAAAACATTCTTTCCTTCAATATGACCGTACACTCTAAGACGAGCAGTAATCTGCTGTATCTGCTCCGCACTTGGAGTTCTTACACCCTCATTACTGTACATCCTCTCTAACATCTCTATTTGCTCCTTTGTTGGATTCCATCTTGACCCTCCTATTGCTGATGATGTTGGTGATCTCTCCTCCACCTCTTGATCTTCCACGTCATCATCAAAATCAACATCATGATTATTTCTCTCTCTAGAATTTTCCTCCATTTTTTTTTTTCTTTGTTAAGAAATGTTGTTTTTGGTTGTTGAAATGTTATGATGTGCATGCATGTATATATGCTACTCTGAAAACATGGAGGTTAGCGGCTGATGGGAGAGGGAGGGTTGAAAAGACTAAAATGCCCATGGATTTGCATGGGAGGGCGTATTGGGAATGACAGAAGGAAAGGGTAAAATTGTCAAAGGAAGAAGTGTAGGTGTTATGTGATGTAGAGTAGGGGCTAGGGCTTTGGGAATTTAAGCTTTGCAGATGAAAGATCATCCGATCGATGACAGAGAAGTTTAAAGGTTTTTTATCTACAAATAAATACTACGGAGTAAATGAATTTGAGGGCATTAGATTAATTAGCCACAAAAATTAATTAAAAGATTATTTGATTTATTGATGAACAAGGGACACATGAATCAAGACATGTTGAGCTAAATAAAGTAGTCTGTGAAAAATATATTGATCTTTGTATACAAAATTTTTAGATTTTGTGAGTGGTAAATGTTTTATGATAAGGATTGATAACCAAATGTTAAGCGCAATGCTAGCTTCATTTAAATTTTAGGGAAGTTTTTGGGTGTAGCAAGTATAAATATGACGCATTAACGCAATGCTTTATTATATCGTATTCGTAACTTTAATGTTGATTAGAATTATTTTTAACTTGCTTTATTGGATAATTTGTTAGTATTGCAAAAATTATTACAAGTATTATTGGATGAAAAATTAAGATTTTGTAGTAAATTGAAAATTGTGGAGTTTTGTTATTGTTTGACTTTATTTTATTGATTTATATTAAAAAAAAATTAAGATTTTTTTATTTTTATTATTATTATTTTTTTATAATAATATACTCATTTGTACAATTGTACGTAGTCATTGAAAAACTTTTTTTTGGAGAATTTTTTTTTCGAATTATAGGCTTATAGCTCAAGAAAATAATTATGGGTCTATATGTTCCGGTCCATAATAAGTTATGCAAATTGAAATGCAAATGACCAATCAAGTTATTAGTCTAATTAAAGGGGTTAATCTAAGCAAAATTGTAGTACTCCTAGTTATCATCAATCCACAAAAAAAGGGGGACATTGAATTAGTTGCTTATTAAGCTCTTTATGATAAGCATTGTTGTTTGGCTCGTGTCTCAAAAGCTTAATTCCATCACATTTAATTAATTTTCCAATGCAACAGCTACAGCGCAACAACAAAAATTGTTTGGCAACATCAAGAGAATTTCTAAATACTTGTATGTGATATACTGGTAGTCTGGTAATTAGATAGATGGTGTAGCTATTGAGGAGTTTATATATCTTACTATACTTACGAACGTTACACTTAACTATTTATTAGTTGCCCCAGTTATACTAGGGGTTCGATAAGATCTTTTATTCTCACATTTTGCTTGTTTGATTCATCCACAATTTAGTTGTGGTAGATATATGTGGCATATAATAATAGTAAGATGAAAGGGAGATACGTGCATGCGTTTGACAAGTCACCTACATTAATATGAAGGGGAATGAGTCAATGTATTGACCTCGGACTAAATGTTACAAAGAGAATTCATATTATTGTAGGTTTTATATTTATTGGCTTATTACATTTTATCTAGCTATCTATGTAATGAATCAATGTATGTGTACTATGTTAAACATTAAAAACTATATACTCCGTATTTTGGTAGGGTAAGTTTTAATCATGTTATAAAAATATATTAAACATAAAATATTAACAATAAATGATTTCATACCACCCTGCTCACATTCCTAATTCATTCTGAACTTTATACCAACTCATGAACCAAACATTACAGTAAGCTTAGAATCCAACTTGATCTATTTGTTTATATTTTTCTTTTAAAAAAATATGCACTATCAACTTACTCCAAAAAATCTTGTAAAAAAAAAAAAAAAAAAAAAAAAAATCTTACTCCAAAAAACAACTTACTGAAAATTGTTATGTAACGTTTCTGCTTTTAAACTATTTATACATTACTTTAATCATCTGAATTCCATATATAAATAAAAATGTAATCGTGATCTTGTTAACTTCGTTACATTTTTCAATACATACTTTTAATATATCAACTTATTTGTGTCAAAAATAAAATAATTACTTGTATAATTTTATTTATTGATAAATAAAATTATTCACAATTAAAATTATACATTGATTCTTTCAAAAAAAAAAAAAAAATTATACATTGATAAATACAAATATAAAAATGAAGCAACTAAAAATAACAAAGGAAGTACTGTGTAGTCTATATTATTATTCATAATTGGGCCGGATGTTTAGTACGCATTCATAAATGGGCCGGATGAATAATTTGGAAAAACTTTTATCAAAACAGTCCATGCCCATTATTTTAGCGGGCCGAACATTGAGAGTATTTATTTTCGTTTTGTTTTTCATTTTTACATGGTTACGCAGTTACGCCTAACTTCTCCGGTTCTCCCTCTCGCCTTGAAACGTACTCCGTACTTGAGTTCTTCATTGAAGCAGCTTTGAAGTAAGATGTTTTCTTTCGTATTCATCGAATTTCAATTCATTATTTTATTTCACGCTATCGTTGAATTTAATTGGCTGTGTAGTCAATTTAGGGTTTTTTTAATGTGCGATTTAAGTTGATATTCTTAAGGGAGAAGAATTTATGTGGTTTTCAAGCCAAAATTAATAATCAAGTCAAATACTATTGCTAATGTGTTGCATTTTACGTATTAAATTAAAGATAAAATTAACATTTTTGTAATTATTTGCAGATTTCTAATTTTTTTCTAATTGTGATCTCTTTGAAGATTTTATTATGTATCCGACACATATAATACACCAATTACACACATTAATTCTTCGCGTATAAAATAATGATCATGATGGATGTCTTCTTACTAAGCATTTTGTAGATGGACATATATGGTATATCGGTATGTGTAGTGTGTTAATCTATATTTAATTAATATTAAAATTGTAGCAGACTCAAACTCATTTTTATGCAGACATGGATAAGATGGTAGAATGTCGCAACACATCAGCAACCATTTGAAGAATTGTCACATGCTAATTCCTTTCAGAAAGAATTACTACAGCTTATCAAGACTCCAATACCGGAAAATAAAAGAAATAAATAATAAAAAATAAAAAAATCGATGTAAAAGCTACGTTTGATGATCTGTCCATTGTGAGCATTTCCAAGGGAAAATTCAAGGAACTCTACGATGATGATCATTAATGTATTGAACTTTATACTTATGTCAAACTCGTTGATGATAATGATGACGAATTTTTTTGTTTGGATTTCAGTGGTGATGTTGAGTACGACTAAGTGCAATCTCAAGGGGCATGGACTTCAGGACTTGCCTATGTGGCCTACACAATGTTGACAGTGTTGGAAGTGAAGACATATTTGAGGATTTAGGTGGTACCATTTTTGCTTTGTTTTGGGTCAGAAATGCCGAAATAGGTTTATTTCAAGCACACTCTATGATGAGGTATATGATTGACCTCTCTGAACACCCAGCCTTGAGCCAGACTGCCAGATATAGGGTAGCTGCTCTTACTTCAGGATTTGATCTTTCTCCTTCACTTTGTAAGTCTAGTTTACGACTTGTGGAGGTTTTCTTGTTTTTTAATGGTACTTATGGCGAGACATTGGTCCTTTGCTCCTCTGTGGGAACGAAACAATCGAGTATTGTGATACAAATTTCAACAGAAACAGGACTAATCCTACCTTGGTTGACCCTTGTGGCAACTGGCTATGTACCTCTATTATCGCCTCATCATTGTTCCGAAGGTGATAGTTTTGAGTTTTGACCTTCAGGCATGGTAAAGGCTGCGAAATAAGAAAAGGGTCTCTGCCATGGAATTGTAGCGCAGGTTACAGATATCATGACAGGCAAATCTCTTCAGCTATTGCAGGCAATTAAAATGTGGTTTTGCTGTGCGCTGTGAAATGTACCATCTTTGTGGATGCAGTTCCAGCCAAAGTGTAGGGTGTTTTCGATTCCCCTGCTGACAAATCGCTTCAAGTACATGGGAGAATTGCTGCTAGGTTGCCTAGGTAGTAGGTACGCCAATTACATGTACTTCAAAGTGTAGTGATCAAATCGCGTTGTCTAAAGCTGTAGTTCCTGTGCCATCAAATGTCTTTCAGATTGTAGTAGCAGACCTCAATGTTCTGGTAAAAGGCAGATGTGTTGAGATCGAAGATCAGAGGCAAGGTATGTAACATCATTCTTGCCTAAAGAAGCTTTGCTCAATAGCACACCTCAGAAAATCAATGGATACCTCTAGTGGAGTGGGACTAATGCATGGTAAGATGGTGATTATATAAGATGATATTTGATTGGTTTCTAAATAATGTCTCTTGGTGATTTATAAAGAATTTATATTAAATAACAATATATTGAATGATTACTTAGTTGAATTTCGATCAATGGTCTAGGTCTATAATGATACTATTTGATTTTTTATTTTTTATTTTATATTATTTTTTTGTATTGATACTACCTTTACATAATACCTTCATTGATTCCAAAAATTGCTATATTTCTCTTTTGAAAATTAAAAATTTAATAACTTTGACCGCAAACTCTCATTATTGTATAAGAAATAGATACATAATCAAATTTGTTATTGTATGAAGCCTCAACATACGTTCAAATTTTAAATTTTTACCAATGCATAGTTAAATATGTTTATGGTCAAACTAGCGTATTAGAGACAACAAATAAGTAAAAATCGTGCAAATAATTTGAATTGAATGAAGTTACTTTATATAGTAAGTAGGCAAAAGTAAAGATGACATTATATACAGTCGATCCTTGACACAACACGGCCTAACATGAAAATGCACACCACAATATAATACATACTTTATATACCGGGTTTTAACCACATAGAAAAGCACGATAAACACAAGGTTTGGGTCATGTCAGAGCCACTCTTTTAAAATTTCGTCACAACAAATAGCTAATGGGTTCGGCCAGTGGTCGATCCTAATCAAGCCGAAGATCCAGCACGGCCCACAAGTCCACAACTAGTAAAAGTGCTTAAATTCGAAGATGACATAAACCATAATTCCGTCAAAAAAAAAAACAAAAACATAATAAAGCCAGCAAAGTACACAACAGAATAGAGGGGAAAATGGGTCACTGTGTTTTTTGTCTTGTAACATTATCTAATCATCCTCCTCGCATGGGTGATTCAATCAATTTCTTCCCTGCTGTCAACCTTCTGTGATTACTTATTAGTGATTCCCAGTTAATCACCTTTGTTCCCCTTAATTATTTATTTTCTTACTTGTATAAACCATTTTTTATTTTTTCTGTTAGTTTATTTTCCATCAACTTTTTTTTTTAAAACTAATTTCTTTTAATTTTGACACACGCTTTTGCTTAACCCATGTGAGCTGCCTCTTTTTGGACTCAAATATTTCCCAAACTATTTTCTCTCTCCAAAGTTTAAAAAGTTGAATTTTACTCCAAACAAGCATTGTTTTTGTAGGCTTTTAAGGTAAGAAAAGATTTTTACTCCTCTTAAACAAAATTTCCATATTATTCTAAAATTCCCAAATTCTTTATTTCCTTAAACCAAAAATACCTTCTCGTTGCTCACCCGCCTACAATAAGCAATGGGAATCTTTCATTAGCTGAAAAGAAAAGCTCTTCTCTTTTTTTTTTTCATTGAGGCATTTCATCGAACAGGTGGTGAGTATGACAATCTGAAAGAAATAGGCTTTCGGTTCACTTTTTTTTTTTCCTGGGAAAGAAATTAAAAGCTTGATTCTTTGTAATAAAGATGTGATCTTTATACAAAAACAAAGAAAACCCAGTTGCCAATTTAATCAATTCTTCCATATTTCTAAGGTGTTGTTGATTTTTTTTGGAGAGAGAAACACAAAGATGACAATTTTGAGTGGTTTAGGGATAGTGTTAAGTATAGTATTTGGTTGTTTACTGTTAGCACTTGTTGCAGAGCTTTACTATCTACTATGGTGGAAGAAAGAGAGAATTATGAGCAACACAAACAACAACCGCAGCAACAACAGAATTCAGCAGGATTACAGTAATCATGCAAAAGAGATGTTCTACCTCTTTTGTTGGGATAAACCCACAACAATCAACAACGCAGTTGTTGGCAACCCAAATTCAAGCAACAACAACGTTGTTGAAAACACTGAAGGAGATATTGAAATGGGTTTAGAAACCCGAAAAGATCTCCTACTAAAGGCTCTAGGAGAAGAAGGTGTGGACTCAGACATTGTGCGATTAGCAGGGCATCCAAGATTCTTGTTTACAATTAAGGAAGAAACAACGGAAGATTTAGAATCTGAAGATGGGAAATCAAAGGCTAGTAAAAAAGGATCGAGAACAAGGAGTTTGAGTGATTTAATCATGGCCATTGAAACACATACACCTTATAATAATCTAAGTCCAATGTCATCTTCTTCTCCAAAATCAAAGTTGCTGTTGTCAACCAACAATAATAACTACAACAACCCGTTGTTTGAAACTTCAGCAACTGTTGTTGAAGCTGAAATTAATAGGTTGAGATCTTCTCCACCTCCTAAGTTTAAATTTTTGAGAGATGCTGAGGAGAAATTGTATAGAAGGTTGGTTGAAGAAGCTCAAAAAAGTGGGATTTTTCAGGAGGTTGTTTTGGACAATTCACTTCCTTCTAATTACCACTCAGATGAAGAAGAAGAGAAGGAGATTCATTGCACTTCACAGGTACTTCAAAAATAACACTCTGTTTGAATAATTAGATCTTGTTAAGAAGAAATTAGTGATAGTGTGAATTACTTAATTAAGCCTTTTTTTTTTTTTCCTTCCTTTTTTTTTGGTTTTTAGTTTTTGGAAATATAGTTTCTTAATTTATTAGGAGAAAAAAAAAAAAAAAAAGGATTCCTGTAAGATAACCTCCTTGTTATCCAATCAATATGGAAGAGTTTTGGGATTTCCTGAAACAGAGATATCTGATACTAGTGCTATTTCAGTGTTTTTGTGCAAAAAGTTGACACAATGTTCTATTTTCCTGCATGTTAATTGGGAAAATTGTTCTGTTATAGCAAAATTGGTTGTATTAGATGTACAATTTCATGTATAAATAAGTAAATACGAAGTACTATATTATATATGCTTACAATTTATATTCTTGACACTGCTTTAATTGTCCATGGTTCGAGAATTTCTTTAATTTTCCATCTTTTAATTTGTCAAACTCTCTTACAATCCCAAGTGCAACTAGAACCAGAATGCACGGAGTTGTAATGACATTATCTATGAGAGTAAGTACTTCTAACGTCGAGGTTCATGGACAACTCTTCGAAATCAGTTTTTACTCAATATACAAGTCTATATAGTGGCAAAATTTTTGGTTTTTGGGCGTTAGAAAGAGATATGTTGGTGTTTTCTTGGCTAAATAGGAGACAATTTTTGAAATTAAATGAGCTCACTTAAGAATGGGCAAGATTTCCTTGGAATTGTACAATGTTAAAATCGATATGTTTTTCATTTTCTACCACTCTTTGAAATTGGTCTATAATGGCAAATTTTTTGATATTTGGGCGTTATCCAAGAATTTTTTTGGTGCTTTCTTAACGAAAAAGGAGGCAAGTTTGAAATCAAAAGACCTAATGGAAGAGTGGGAAGATTTTCTCGGAGTTGTACAATGTTTTAAAGTTCTATAAGCAAGAGTTTGATCATAATTGATATGATTGTCATGTTTGAATTTAAAAATTGTTAAGAAATTTCTTCCTAATGACACTAAGCATTATATGCTTAGATTTACACTCTAATTCTTGATACTAGTGATTGATTAGCGTTGGTAGATGCAGCCAAATTGTGTATAGTGTAATATATTGGTATGAATGAAACAGTCCAAACAAAGCATGTGCATAATGATCGATTTGACACGCAATTATTGTAGTAAAATACACCAAGAATTGTTCTCTTGATACACAATTTCCTCTTGTTAAGGCAGCTGTTTTTTGTATAAAATTAAGGGCAATGAAAAAAGTGAATAAGATAGAAATATTCTGAATATAACCCTTCTTCTTCAAGTTTGTAAGGTATAGATTAAACCTTATAAAACAGAAAAAAGAAAGCTTTATACCTTTTTAACACGACGTTTAGATTGTTCATTTTTTGGAAGAATCTTTGTTTTAGGTCAACTGAAAAGCTGCCATACATTCTATCTTAGTAGATAAGAAGATTTTCAGCAGTAGATATATATGCTGTTGTCATAATTTCGAAGTTGTTTACCTTATTTCTAGAGTTGTTGAAATCATACTTAACTCATGCTCATTTTCTCATTAAATAGCTCATTTTCTCATTAAATAGCTGTGGATACACTAGTAGTCTAGTACTAGTACACACAAGAAAAGTTGGCTTCGACTTACCCTAGGACTTTATGAGTACTGTATCTCTATGAATTTGTTTAGATAATGCGGCAACTAATCGAAGAGATTTTATGTATTGTCGTGTAAATGTTCTTTATAGATATGTTCTATGTGAGACACTTATATCATTATATGCGCTAATCCGTGTAACACATTGACAATGGACATAATCACTTGACGAGTTGATGTCGAGTCATCATATTGACATTGGAGGCTAATAAGTATGAACTGTTAACTAAATTATTAGTAGTTTTTGTTGTTGGATTTTGTTAACGAACGCTTCCGGGGCTTTAGGATAAGCTTTGAAAATATTTTCTAAAGTGGTAAAATTTGGGAATGCATGTCAAAATTAAGCGTCGATTGATGTAATTAATGTTCATTTTAATCTAATTTTTCTACTTTTAACTATCTTATCCAACGTTCTCGGGGCGTTCATTAGCTTTTTCCTTGTTTTAAAATGTTTTGAAAGTGAATTTGTAATCCTGCTTGGGTCAAAAGTAGTAGAACAAGGTGGGAGTGATTTTTGAACTAATTTAACTATTGGTAAGAACGGTCACTAGTTAAAAAAGATAAGAAGAGTCCAAGAAGAGGCGCCTTGAATAATTTTTTTTGGGGAAGGTATAATAATAAATTAATAATAATTAAATAAAAATAGGAGCTAGTCTTTGTCACCTTAATTAAAATCGGGAAGAAAAAAAAATGACAAAGTAGGAAGTTGATGTTTATGGGTGGCAAATAAAATTAGAGGGATTTCACCTAAATCCGAAGACAGGTCACTAGTTTCACGCGACTTTTGAAGTTTTCTTCCCCAATTTAAAGGGTTTTGCACTTTTGCCCCCACCTTCAACTTCAACTATCCTCTTCTGCCTTTTCTTGTTTATTTTCAAATTTGAATGCCTTTGGACCATTCACATTTATCTGTATCATACATTCATTCATTCATGTGCTGTCCTTTTATGCATAATCCTTAGAGAAATAAAATGTAGATCGGGTCTAGGAGTTTACAAATTTTATTGATTGTCGGTACTCTATGTCTTATGAAAAGTCTTCCCTACACGTCTATACTACGATGAAACAAATATAACCTCGTAACCACAATAAAAGTTATTTCTCATATTTGAGAGAAGACCGCAAATCAATACACATTACGTTGTTATGTACAAGTGTACAACACACGAGACGGGAAGTAAACAAAATGTCGTGTACTACCATGAGAATTATTATCTTCAAATGGCAGGATCATTAATTAATGCATACTATATATGTAGTGCGTTAGATATATCTGTAACTTACATATATGCATATAAATTAAGCAAGTATAAAAACATAATAATATGATTAGGAGACTAATGTAAGTATGGGTAGGGTGAGAACATGAGTGCATCTGTGCATGTGAGTGTGGAGACTGAGAGAATAGAACAAAGAGAGTTACAGAGTAGTCCAACACTTTACACTTGGGAAGTAATGTAGGGTCAATCTATTTTGTGTTCTGTTCTTATAAAATTTAACTACCTATAGTAGATAACCCTTCGTTTGCCTAACTGTATGTAGGGACTATATTGTTTATGGGGTACTTTCTCTTAATTTTTTCATCCCCTTTTTTTTTAATGCAATTTCAAACAAAACTAGAATTTAATTTAAATCAGCCAACTTTTTTTTTTTTTTGTCCTTTTGGTTGGAAATACTTCCTATTTTCTGCAATTCAAATTCAAATTAAATGTATGTGATGGGAACTTTATTTTGTGGCCTACAACATCAACGAAAATTTAAAATGGCTGCACTTTGTTGCAGTACAATTTATTCAAGAGGTTCTGAGTTTATTGGGAATGGTTTGAACCATGGAATTCATAAATTATTCATCCAAATTAATGTTGCTCATAAATATTTCAATCTCTTTGAATTATTATACACCTTTGTGTAAATAAGGGAGTTGAGATATGAGCTCCAACACTTTCAACTTTATGATAGGGATGGTACATAAATTGTGAGAAAATTAAGTTTGAACTGGGAGCTGAAGTTGATGTACAATTCAAATAACCTAAACTAATTCATAGTTTTAATTTATTTAGGCAAGGACTCGAGGACCTAAAACTTTGCATAAGTTTAACTAAGTTTAGTGATAGAAACAATACGTATTGTTGGTGTATTTGACTATTTGAGGCTCAAGTGCCTTGCACAATTTGTGTATATCTAAGGGAAAAAGCAGGTTAGACCATATACCAAATTAAATAACATATACTTATAATACTAGTCTTTTTAATTTTTTTTGGTAGATGATAAGAATTGTCTTACTGATCAACAACCTTTTATAGATTAACTTAACTCGGATGATGTTAGATACTTTGAAAGTGGATGGAGGGGGGGGGGGGGGGGGGGGGGGGGGGAGAAGGTAAGGTAAGGGGATTCCTATCATTAAAGTGTTTCTTGTCAGAATTGAATTCTCAATCTCAAAGTTTTAAGACTATTTCCTTACCACTAGGCCAACACTTAGTTGATCTAGTCTTTTCTAATTTAGTCCTAAATTTATACTTTGTATGTATGTATTGTTATACTAGTATTATTGTATACTCAGATATAAAGTTATGAGTGTCTCCTTATCTCTACATGAATTATGATTTGTGAGTTGTGATTGTTGTGACTAATGAGTATCCTCAAAATTCATAAAGACAATCCTATTCGAGGGGACATGCAAGTTAAATGTTATTATAGCTTGTGTACAGGTTTATACAGTAATATATAGATACATGAATTAAACACATTGTCATCAAAGATATTGACTCTTTTATTGATAATACATTTTCTTATTTCCTTTTCCTAGATAAATTAGAACATAATCTTGTGAGAAGACGTTCCTAATTTCCTTCATATATCTTACTTTAATTAAAAAAAAAGTTTTTCTTTTTCTGCAAAGTAAAAATCCATTTCAATTTAAATTTACTATCTCCGTGCACGGAACGGTTAATTTTAACTATCTTCTCATGTTCATAAGTTTGATGTATTATTAAAAATAATATTTTCTTTTCAAAAAAATAAAATTAATAGAACTATGTTTACTAATTACGAGTAAGTTCAAAATATAAGGGCTATCTAATCTCATCATCAACCTACATGTAAAACACATAATAAGTTATAATAAATTTAAATAAAATCAAATCATAAAAAGGCCACATAAAAAGAGATTGACGAAATAGGATGAACTCGATCCTCATAGAGTCATAGTTTAGAAGTGCCATGCATGTCATCTTGATAATGCTTGTTTGTAAATTTATAATGCTAACACTAGAGGTTTTGGATTATTAGAGACAAATACAATTATATTAAACATGCTAACATAATCAAGTTTAT